CAAAAGTCACACGGTGCGAGATCTGGTGAATATGGTGGATGTGGAATGATTTCGATTCCTTCCTCCATTAAATAATCAATAACATCTGGATGAGTATGAGGAGGACCATTATCATGAAGCATTTTATATGTAGTACGTGACGACTTTTCCTTTTTTCTTATTTCATTGATAACAGGTATAAGACAATTATCAATATAGTAGTCATGATCGATTGTCTTGCCCTTATCTACTTTGTGTATGAGAAGAGAACCAGTGGATTTGAAGAAGAAGCAAAATAGTGTTCTAGGTTCAAATCTATTCCGACGAACAATGGTTCTTGGTGGTTCATTTTCGCCAACCCAAGTAGCATTGCTTGACTTTCGACCAATCTGCCTGTGATAAATCCATGTCTCATCACCAGTAATAACATCACATAAATGCCATGTTCCATTTCTAAATTTCTCTAAATTTTGACGACAAATTCTAAGTCGTTTTTGTTTTTGTTCGTCAGTAAGTTGATGAGCAACCCAACGTGATGTAACTTTTCTCATCTTTAGACGATCATGAATAATTCGTTCTATTGTACCACGTGATAGATCAATCTCACCCATAATATCATCATAAGTTGAGTGTGGATCATCTTCGATAACTTGTCGAACGCGTTCAACATTTTCATCTGTAAGTACCGAAATCGGACGACCAGATCGAGGATCATCAGTGACATCGTCTCTTCCTTCACGAAAACGTTTCGCCCATCTTCTGACTGTTGGATATGATGGAGCATCAGGTCCCAATGCCTCTGTAAGTTCGTCAAAGATTGTTTTTGAATCTATTCCCAAAATAGCTCGAATTTTGATATAATATCGATTGAATTCATCAGTCATGTTTAATGTCTTCTTTTAAGATTGAAATCAAATTCTATTACGATTTTAAGTCGAGTACGGTACAAATGAACTAACAGCGAACGACCTCTCATTTATATATACTATCGAAATGTAATATTCTAGAACATGACGTCATAAAACGTGACGAGAGAGTGACCAATAGAAAGTTCCAGAATGTACCTGACCATTGAACAAGAATTAATAATATTTGCATTGTCTGTAAAATTATAGATTTAGTCTGAAAGGATGTTAGAACTAAGTCTAAGAGAGAGTTGCTCTATATATTATTAAAGACGAGACGTTATACTATATATTGCCTTAGTAAAATATTCAATATTTATTGCTTTATTAAATTTTAAAAACTGTGATCAGAACTTTTGGTATACCCTAAGTAATAAGTTTCAATACTGCCAAATGATTATGTTCGCATTGCAAGCTTCTCGGGTTTCATTCCAGTCTGAGCTGAGAATAATTTTAGCTTTGTGGGAATCAATATTCTATGCCACGTTTTCTTGATTTTAATATTGAGCTAAACGAGGGTCGTGAAGCCGACACGTTACTTTTGAAACAAGTTTCAGAAACTCGACGAAATCATTCAAAACAGTACTCTTTTCTTGAAATTCGATCGTATCTAGGATTTCCATGAGCGAAATGCTCGCAATCTGAAGAGAAATAACCAAAAAGAAAGTCGACAACGAGCTTTGAAAAAGCACAGTTGCAATTGAAATCTCCTCTACGAGACATTGCACGTAAACCACGATCTGCATTGCTCAATCAATCTCACCAATGTAGCTGATATTTTTATGGTGAAGAGAGCTGGACAAGCTTATTCTCGTGGTAGATTCCCTTTTTCTCTAATAGAAATTAAAACGAGGAGAAAGTGATTGATTTTACAAGTGGATTTCTCATTTCGAATAAATTTCGAGATAGTTGTTAGGAATTTCGGACTTGAAGGATATTTAAAGTTTAAATGATTATGTTATAACATAGACAATGCCGTATGTGATAGTTTACTATTATATTATTTTTAGCACAAGTTAAGCTTCACTTTCTGAATGCATAACAAAGTTTTCTCTCAGGATCGCTAAAGTACATCCAAATGTAATAATTCTACAATGAATGTTCATAACGATGATGAAATTGAATTTTTCAAGAAAATACTGTTCTCTTATTAGTTTAAAATAACATAATAATAGACTATTGCAAATGGCATTGTTTATGTTTTAACATGATCATTAAAATTTCAAGTACTCATCAAGTCTCAAATTTCTAACAACTCTCTCGAAACTTATTCAAAGTGAAGAAATTCACTTTTAAAATTGATCACTTTCTCCTCATTTTATTTTCTATTTGGAAAAACGGAATACACCACGAGAATGACCATGTCGAGTTCTACAAACTGGTATATCGCCCATTCAAAGCTGAGACTCACACTTGGTGTGACCTTCCCTCGTTAGCCAAAAATCAATAGGAAGATACTCAATTCTTCAAACTTTTAGCTCCTACTCTGATATCAACTTTTTCTATTCTGCTCATATTTTGCAATTTTCTTCTCCATCATTAGGTGGTTCGAGGTGAGAAATGTCTCAAATGATAGAGCATTATTCATCTCTACAAAGCTGATCTATTCTATTACTTTTTTAAATACATTTTTGTATGAGAAAAGAAAACTGAGCCAGCTTCGATATGCTTTAAAAATTTTCGCTAACAAGGGAACATTCTCAGGTGTTAATCCACTGTTCAGTCGAAGTATTGCGCATCTTGTAGATCTTAGTGAACTATCACTCTAAAAAAAAGATTTTTTACCAAATCCCCGAAAAAGGTTCTGTAGGTTTGAAAAAGCGTCTAATTGCATCCAAATGCTTGAAAAACGATTCTTCAGTTCTACGAAACCTTTTTTTAAGTTGCGTACAGCAGAAAAAGGTTTCGGAAGAAAAATGCGAAACCTTTAGGGTTTCAGATTCAATTTCAATGGTTTAGTACGAAGCCATTGGGGTTTAGTAAAAAACCATTAGAATTTATTTATAAACCCTAAAGGTTTCGCATTTTTCTTGCGAAACCTTTTTCTGCTATGCGCAACTTAAAAAAAGGTTTCGTAAAACTGAAGAATCGTTTTTCAAGCATTTGGATGCAATTGAACGCTTTTTCGAACCAACCGAAACATTTTTCGGGGGTTTGGTAAAAAACCTTCTTTTTAGAGTTATGTCTATGGTGAAAAAAGTTCGGGTTTCTGACTCGTTTCTGAGAAGATAGAAAGTTTTTTACTATTTTACTTATAAGGGTCATCTCGTGAGGAAAAAAGTACTCTACTATCCAATACAAGTTGAAACCACCTGACATTTTCCTCACATATAGTGATACTCATATGGAAGATAATGTAAAAGTTCGAGTTCAAATAACCATGGGAAAATCGAGTTATCAGGTTTACAAAATACTAAAGTCGTTCTATATGTCATTAATTACGCTATTTCGCAGAAATACAATATAATTGTAGTTTTTCACGATAATCCTATATTAAATAAGAAAGCACATCATTGTATATCATTTTTCTTCTTCTTGCACACGTGGTATATGTTCAGTTCATTCATGCAAGGCAGTTAGTTTGGCTCATTTCTTTTCATTTAATAATAATAATCATCCGTAGACGAAAGAAATCACTATATATGTAGCTTAGCATATAAGCACCACCACAGTCAACTGAATCGAATGAAAATTAAAAATACATTATCGTGAAAAACAACAATAATATTGTAATTCTGCGAAATAGCGTAATTAATGACATATAGAACGACTTTAGTATTTTGTGAACCTGATAACTCGATTTTCCCATGGTTATTTGAACTCGAACTTTTACATTATCTTCCATATGAATATAACTATATGTGAGGAAAATGTCAGCTGGTTTCAACTTGTATTGGATAGTAGAGTACTTTTTTCCTCACGAGATGACCCTTATAAGTAAAATAGTAAAAACTCTCTATCTCCTCAGAAACGAGACAGAAACCCGAACTTTTTTCACTATAGACATAGCTCACTAAGATCTACAAGATGCGCGAAACCTCGACTGAAAAGCGGATTAACACCCGAAAATGTTTCCTTGTAAGTCTTTTTTTATTGAAAATCTTATCCAGCTTCCGCTCTGAGTTCAGTCGAAAGGCGAATTCCATCGGAATGTGTTTTTTATGATTTCGTTCCGTACCATTTCGTCTTCAATAGCATTTCAAAATGTTGAAATTCAATTTCTATTACCTAAATGTCTTTTTCGTGAAGTTTGTTTTTCGACTAAACTTCGAGGGGACACGAATGAAATTTTCGATAGAAAGGCAGTTAAAGAAATTTTTTGAAATATATAAAAGTTTGGTTCAGCTTTCAACGTTGATTCCACATATGTTATTAGTTTTTATTCGAATAGTAACTCTTCTGAACAAAATTTGCTAAATATTGGTCAAAATAGCATATGGGATGTGAAATCATAGCATGCTTGACTTTTTGTAAAGAAAAGTTTTATAATCTGCTGATACAATTCTTCAAAAAGAAGTATACAGAAAAGATGCATCGTGGTTAAGGTTACAACAGATAAAAAATGTAGTCTGGAAGCTTTTATTGTGACTATTGTTTTATCTATGACACTAAAAACTCATGATCGAAATCGTATACTTATTTTCTCTGCTATGATTCCTTTTTCATATAGGAAGACATTTAGAAAAGAAATAGAATAGATCAACTTTGTAGAGACGAAAGATTATCTATCATTTGAGATACTCCGCACTTGGAACCATCAAATGATGAAGGAGAAAATTGCAAAATATGGCTGGAATTGAAAAAGTAAATTTTAGAGCAGGAGATAAAAGTTTGCAGAATTGAGTATCTTCCTATTTGTTTTTGACTAAGCCAAAATGGCAAGGGGAAACAAGCGGACTTCTGTACTTCTCAGTACTTCCTGCCACTTCTTCGTACTTCTTGGCACTTCTAGGTACTTCTTGACAAATATCAAAAATTCTGTTCCCAAGAAACAGAACATTTTTGTTCTGTTCTTTTGGGAACAGAATTTTTGATATTTTCCAATAACAGAAAACTCTTGTTCTGTTTTGGGAAAAAAATCTAGGGAGAAAGCACATATTTCTCTGTACTTCTTGGTATTTCTCTGTACTTTTCCGTCGTTTTGTACTTCGGAAGTACAGAAGTCCGCTTGTTCCCCTTGCAGAATGGTCTAATGCTTGGGTTTGCATAATAAAATTTTATAGGCTTCTGAAGTAAATGGACAACTTAAAAATCTAATATTTTTCTGCAGTCGGCCTGGTCGGCGTTCTACCGGACTCTTCTGTTAAAAAAGTCCTTTCACTGATGAAAATACATCTACAATAACATACGGACTCTTTTACTTAATGCTTCAATTTGCAGATATTTTACTCGACAAATAAGCATTATCTTTTCGTTCACTCCTTCACTTTGAGAGTGTGAGCAAGGAGACAATAAGCATTGTGTTGCAAATCTTGTGCTGCACAAATACCCGTTCGACGAATTAAGGGGACAAAAGAAATTAAAAAACCTTGAATTAGAAGAGTGTGAGTGTCGGCCTGAGTGTCGCATCTGTCGGTCTTGGTAAACAGAAGAACAGCATCCACATTCTAATCGCATGAAAGCTCAATATGAAAAGATTCTTCGTTCGATTCTTTCTAATCTAATATAGAATATTTTAAACTACTGAGAGCGGCAATATTTTATCACAGTGACTCTGCAACGTAACCAAGGTCTGAATGACAAAGTGTGTTTAATTCAATGAAAAAAGCTACTCTCCAGATTTTCATGCGAGATCTAAATTCAAATTTTACCAATATGAGCCAAAAGTATTTCATTTCATAAACTTTTGGAAAATTCCATGATACATTTAAATTTTTGCATTGGGAAAGACTTATTTCATTTAAAAATATTGTACGGAAAGTTATAAAGAAAAACAATAGAAAGTTTTCTAATGTGAAACTTCTATTTGATTAATGAAAATTAAGAAAGTTATTTGTAGTCTTTCAGTGAGGTACATTTTCACTGGGAAATTCAGTATGACGCTGATCATATATCATAAATCTTGGGTTCTAGATTGAAAATTTTCAAATGGCTTCTAGCAATGGTGCTCTCCGCTTTGCTGACTTCGGCGCATTACCAAAACGAATGTTGGCACCAATCGAAGGTTATGAAAAGATGCCATTGGTAACGCTCGAAGAGGCTGTGAAACCTCTTGTCAAAATCGTACCGAAAGTCGAGCGAAATGCTAAGGTAGTCAAAGAAAACTGCCAAGCACCCGAAGATCGCTTAACACCTGATGAGTCGGCGTCAATTATGCTTTATACCTATGAGTCCATGCCGCATGAAGACTCGTTATACGTTAAACTGAATGAAACTTTACGTTCCGAACAGCGAAAAAATCTAATTCCATGGTTTTTATATCTACGACTCATACTAACAGCACTTGCTCGTCTTCCATCGAAGTGTCGTTTTGTTTTTCGAGGCGTCCGAGAAAACCTCTGGCCTGATTATCCAAAAGGCAAGTCATTCATATGGTGGGGATTTTCATCTTGTACTTCATCGGTCGAAGTACTGGAAAACGAACTATTTTTCGGGAAAACTGGAAACAGAACTCTATTCCAAATAGAGTGTACAACAGCGAAGGACATCAAAAATCATTCATTTGTCACCGGCGAAGATGAAGTACTTTTATTACCCGCCAGAAAATTTCAAGTCAAATCTTGTCTCGATTCCGGAAACGGGCTTCACATTGTACAACTGGAAGAAGTGCAGCCAGAATATGAACTACTGGAATCTGTTCCATTACCGGATCAGTTTGGAGCAATGAAACTTGACGAGAATACAAAGTCACAAGGTTAGTCTTAATTATCTTTGAGTTAGCTGCAGATATACGAATGGATGGGAGAATATTCAGAGAAATAATTTGTGTTTCGTAATGTATTTGATCTCATATAGACGTTTTTATCAATGACATGCTCACTCACATTTTGTCTTACGAGGAAATCACCAGAAATGATTAATCACTTTTGAGCCCATACTTTAGGCATATAGAAGGGTTTTTAGACTAGCACAAACCAAGAAGATTTGGAACCATAGTCTTTCGGTCCTGAAATATTGAATTTTCAAGTTACAACGAACATAACATTTTTGATCTATATCGCAATTATCTCGTAGCTGAAAGTATAATCAGAGCTAAACGTTTTATGAGAAACGAATGTTATCATCGGCGAATCATCCTGCAATTTCCAGATTTTTATCTTATCTCTGTGATTTACATTCATTTTTCTTGTAAATGTCCTGGAAACAACAAGACTGTCAATCACGTTTCCATAAATATCGATGATACTGTTTTATCAACAGTCGAGCTGTCGCTTCTCACCCTTTATTCAATGTAAACCTCCCCTCATAATTGAAGACCCCCCCCCCCATAATAGAAGACCCCCATAATAGAAGGCCCCCTTGTGCAAAAATTTAAAAAACGTATTAGAAGACCCGGGTTTTTTAATCTACTAAGAAAAATTTTCAAAAACTTTTTTCTGAATTTTTTTCTGTTTTTGAATCTAACTATGCCCGCAAAAGGTTTTCAGCCTCGTCCCATGATTGGGAAATACTCCCTATATGGTTGAAGGCAGCCGGGAGAAGCGTGACATTGCACGCTCCTTTTTGAACATTGCCGTTCTCTACATGTCAATATATTTTTTTGTTACTGTAAAATGAGAGTATACTAGTCTCAATAAAAAAGAGTTGAGCAATAAGTTCAAGCATTAAACTTCATGAGTTCATGGGAGCTTTTCGACTGTTTACCGATTCGTTCGTTGCAACAATTCGTACTTAGGCAAAGTCATCAAAATGACTACCTTTACTAATAGGAGTCTATAAAATTCTGGTTAAAAATACTATCGGAATTTGGCGTAATAACTTATAATTATCACTTTAATTTCATCAGAATTTTATGCATGATTTTCGTGAGTATGAATAGGGTCCCGATTCGCTGGGAAGTGCACTATATGTCACTCATATAATCTACTTTTTACACAGATTTCTGTCGGGTTTTTTCAGATCTAAAACTTATAATTTTTTTTTGGTACACATATGTACATCTCTATGCTTTCAAGACCTTTAACAGATTTCTGGGTCCTCCGGTAAATACTATCGTATATTCAAAAAACGAAACTTAAGATGGTCATAGAAATATAACCGGATAAACGTTGTCTCGATGATGCCAGGAAAAGCTGCTAACGAAATCTTTAAAGGAGTCAAATTTGAAAAACAATGTAGCTGTTGTTAATAATCAGATGAACATTGTTTTATTAGATTTATTTTGGAACACATTGGGTCATCATTCTTTGCTTAGTCCTCTAGAATTGCAAAGAGAAAATAGTTTATATATTCTGATAGAATTTTAGTACTATTGCGTCTTTGATCATAATTCAACAAAGTCTGCCGCAGTCTGTAGCGGATAGGATGAAAGGTTTCGTGTCTGCCACGGTTTCGTGTCTGCCACGGTTTCCGATGTTTCAGGGTATCTGTCATGATGTTTAGGGGGATTACAGTGACAGTGGATCCAAATTTCTTCCGTATATTCTTCAACAGATCTTTTATGTCGTGTTTCATAGAGCAAATCACCCACAAGAGAAATGTCACATAAGCACATGATGTTTCATGATTATATAGTCTCATAAGCACTCGTTTAAAAAAGTAATTTTTGTGAAAACAGCAATACAAAATGTGAAATAATTTTTTTCAAAATTTTGAAAAATTTTTCATGAAAATCGCATTAGAAGGTCCCTTCAGAATAGAAGACCCCCCTAGACAGTTTACATGCTCAAACATATTAGAAGGCCCGGGATCTTTTAATGTGAGGGAGGGGTTTAGTCATTGTCGCAAAGTTCTCTGCTCCCAACATATTTTGACGATTCATCACCTTCACAAGTAGCAATAAGCCGTTCATTCTTATGAGTGTATGATTTGGAATGAAACTCTTAGCACAACATAAAAGTTCATTGCATCATCACTGATGTTTACAAGAAAAATTACTGTGAATAGTAGAGATGCTATAAAAATCTGACGTGAGAAATGTCAGGATGATTTGCCGACGATGTGATCAGTTTTTCATAAGACGTTTAGCTCTGATTATACTTTCGTTTGCAAGATAATTGTTATAAAGATCAAAGTTGGTATCTTTCCTATAACTTGAAAAATCAATGTCCCATGACAGAATGGCTCGAATTCTTTAATATGTGTGCTAATCTTGAAGTTCCCTTCTATATGCCTAAATAATGACATCAGAAGTGGTTCATCACTTCGGAAGGTTCTGTCATTACTCAAAACATGAACAAATATGACTTCTACAACTTGGAAAAGTGAGAAATCGTGGAAGAAGTGCGCGCTCTTTTCTAGTTCGAAAGTGATCATTTTGAGCAAGAAAAGGATCAAATATGTTCAGGTTTCATCGAAGAGCTGTATAATCACTCGAATATTTGATCATTTCTTGATCAAAAAGTGAGCAAAGATAACTCATATAACTTTGGAAAATGAATTGTGAATAAAGATGTGCCCGTTCACACATGTTACATAAACGAACATATTTTATTATAAGAATAATCGAATATGTTGTGGTTTCGTTTGGTGCTCTTTTGACACTTTCGGTATGTTGCTTGTTTGAATGATATATGAAACGGCCTCAATTTTCGATCATTTAGTCGGAAATCGGCGTATCCCAAAGCAGACAAACTTTTGAGAAAACGCGTTTAAACGCACATAAATCGGCCTAAAATCGGCAAAAAAGTGGATGTTTTTGGCTCACACTCGCGGTTCCCGACTGTGAGCTAAAAACACCCATTTTTCGGTCTATTTGTGCGTTTAAACGCGTTTTCGGACAAGAAACGCGTGTACACGCATACAAAAAATAGAAAAAGTGGTCGTTTTCTCATACCCAAAATGGATGATCATGATTATAGTCACGTTTCTCGAGTTGGAAAAATACGACAACTTTTTTCTCTTTTTTGTATGCGCGTACACGCTTTCTTGTTCGAAAACGCATTTAAACGCACAAAAAGACCGAAAAGTGGGTGTTTTGGCTCACAGTCGGGAACCGCGAGTGTGAGCCAAAAACGTCCACTTTTTGTCGATTTTAGGCCGCTTTCTGTGCGTCTCAACGCGTTTTCTCAAAATTTTGTCTGCTTGGGTCACAGCGTTTCTTACCGTACCTCTTGGACCTTAGGAAGGCGCAAGTCTGAAAAAAAAGTTTTCACACGGAACTTAATTTGCAATGAAATCGAAACCATTTTAGAGGTTTCGTATGGACCTAAGATGCTTTCAAAAGACTTATAAAGAGTCTGGGATACTTTTTTTAAGGCTTCGTTGGAAATCTGCGAAACCTTCAAAAAGGTTTAGATTTCCTTGCAAATCTCGAAACCTTTTTTAAGTTCCGTAGTATGTACGAAATCATTTTTGGCACTTTTGGATTCCGTATGGAATCTTTTTTTCTTTCAGCTTATGGATGAATGGTTAAGATGTTCGACACATATCCACAAGATAGTGTACGAGCCTCGGCGCCAGGAAACATAAAATGACCTTGGACAAGTTACTAACGGCTGTTTGTCTCAGACCACCCATCCGATAGCACGCTGACTACGTGTGACATACACAAAAAGCCCTTGTGGCTAGTATGTGGTTAGTCAGTATGCATGGGGAGCTTAAGTGATTAGGCGGGAGGAACTCTGAGTCAGGCTGGTCTTCTGTCCAGAGCTGCAGCTATAAATAGCTGTAGGAAAACATGGGGTCTTCAAAACAGTCCTTGGACAGCACCCTATACTGAAAGGTAGCCGAAAGGCAAGGGTATTCTTCTTCTTCTTCTTCTTCTTCTTCTTCTCTTGGGCCTAGGACATTGATTAGGCTAGGTTTCGGTAGTTTTGCTAAATTTATTGAATGTATAGAAAATTTCGGAGATAACTTTGGGATTATTTCTTGGTTAATCATTTCGATAATCATCATTTGATTTAGTACTGACACTTTTTATTTTTATTTTTGACTAGAAGAATATACCGTTTGTCTTGCGGTCGAACTGTATATTTATCATTGGACTTATTATTTTATCTTTATGATAAAGTTGTTGATGTTCGAAGAATTGTATACGCAGACATCTTGTCTATAGATTGTTGTCTATTTCTTCTGAAGAAATTTTCCGATACTTAAGAACATCAATATTTTTTCTTCAGCATTTGAGTAGGCAGAGGGCTAATTTTTGTACTGATTTACATAATTTTGATCAGATTTACATTGGTTCCAATAAGTGAATGTTTGCGACGAAGAAAAAAAAACATGTTTTTTTCAGAAATATGAAATGGTTCAAATTTTAGCATTACAATTTATATAGGGTGCGGAGTCAGTTATAATATAATTCAAAAGATTTCCTTGTTAGTAATGTTCAACTAATCTAGTGATTCGTCACCATCAAAATGTATATTAAACTGGTTACGTGATTAATTTTCCTTCAAATATTTTTTCCCTTATATAAATAGAAAAACGACATATTCAAAAAATGTTTTTTCTACATACATAAAAATTAAAAACTATTTTGAGACAAAGATCGCGAGAATATGTGCGTGACAGAACAATGGACAGTCGTTTCTTTTGTTTTCTTTATATAGATTCAGAAATTTTAAATATCCCCGACAACAAGTGCAAATTTGATTCTCCCTATGTAATAATCGTTGATATTCAACTTGCCTATTTGCTTCTATCTAAACCATAGCTACTGGTATCGTAAAATGCTACCGATGAATCAAATGCATTATTTATTAACTGTTCAAAGGGCAGCTGCTTGTAGAATTAAAAGTTTTTATTATAATTGAACA